ACAGACTCTTTCCATACTGTCCCTCCCCTCACCCAAATCAACATGTGACCCCCAACTAGTCCAAAATTTTCCCTACCCTTTCCCCACCCCAGTAACCTACAAAGTGAGTTTCCTTCCCTAAGTAAACCTTTCCTTTACTTTTTACAATAATGGGCTCATACAATATTTGTCCTTCTGTGACTGACTTACTCCACTCAGCATAATCTTTAAATTTTAAACCTGAAACCCAAAATATTGCCTGACGTCTTCTTTAAATCAAACAACAGTTTTGCTTTAAAGAATGTCTGCCTTGAGCACTGTGCTCTTTTAAGAACTATCTATATAGGACCAAATTGACAATGGAAACACAAAAAATTAGATCAGAAACTTAGGGGGTAGTGAGTGTACATTAATGGGGGAAGAATAATTCAGAAACAGAGGGTGAGAATAATTGCGTAACTTAAAGAATATAATCAATGCTGAACTGTACATGTAGAAATTGTTGGATCTGTGCACGTTCTGCTGTGTAGATTCTCAACAAAAACTATATATATAAAATAGAGTTTTTTAAAAAGTTAGCATCATAAGAATAGCAAGAGTTTATAATACTGAATCAACATTAATAAGAGAAATGATAAGTATCTTGTTTGACAGAGTCAAACACTAGTAGACTAGCATCACCAAACTAAAATACAGACCTGACAGTGATAATAAATGTGGAACCAACATAACTAATATTGTTTCCCCTTAATATAAATAAGAAGCTCTGGCAGTACAGTGGTTAAGGCATTTGGCTGCTAACCAAAAGGTCAGTGGTTCAAACTCCCCAGTTGCTCTGTGGGAGAAAAATGAGACTGTTTGCTTCCATAAAGATTTACAGCCTTGGATACCCTCTGGACAGTTCTACTTTGTCCTATAGGGTTGCTATGAGTCAGAGTCGACTCATTGGCAGTGGGTTTGGTTTGGTATGAGTTTAATATAAATAAGTAAAATAAAAGATGTCTCCTTCCGAGAACAATATGGGAGAAAGAAGGGCTGCTTATGCACGAGCAGACAGCTCAGGGGGCAGGAGGGCATGGAGGGATGGACACAGGGAAAAGGTAATTATCGGGAGGAAGTGGGAGAGGAGCTGTTGCATTATGGTAAATTGTGGTCAATGTCATGAGACAAAGTGTATGTGAACTGCTGTATGGAAAGTGAATTTGCTCTGTACATCTTCACCCAAATCACAATATAATTAATTAATTAATTAAAATAAAGCACTTTGCTGATAATCACAGTAATCCTTCTAATTTCCATGGAAAAAAAAAAAAAAAGAGGTTTCCTTCCAAAAACAAAACAACATACATTCTTTGGAAATATGTCATCTAGCTAACATAGATCTTATTCCAAAACCAGACTCACTGCCGTCAAGTTGATTCCAACTCATAGTGACCCCCTTTGGGTTTCTGAGGCAGTAAATCTTTACGGAAGTAGATTGCCCAGTCTTCTTCCTCAGAGTGGCTGGTGGGTTTGAACCAATTTTCTGGCTAGTAGTTAAATGCCTTAGGCACTATGCCACCAGAGCTCCTTATAGACCTTATTAATATTAAAAAATACATTAGAGATCGCCAGGTGTACCAGAATTGCTCCTTGCTTACCAATGCTGATTTTTTGAAAAGCAGGTCACAAGGGAAAAGGGCATCAATACTCCAAAATTGTAGAACACATTAAATATTAAATCAGGAAAATTAATATACCAAAACTAAGCTCAATCAAATAGTCTGCATTACACAGTTTATGAAAAAGTTTGGGCTCTATCTATATCCATAACCATGCTCAGTTTAGTTACTTACTATATATAGCTAGGAATAAACACCAGAATTAAGATTTTGTTACTATTAATAGTACATTGTTGTCTAAAGAGGAGTTCTGGTGATATAGTGGTTAAAGCACTCAGCTGCTAACCAAAAGATTGGCAGTTTGAACCCACCAGCCACATCACTGGAGAAAGATGAGGCAGTCTGCTTCTATAAGATTTACAGCCTTGGAAACCCTATGGAGCAGTTTGACTCTGTCCTATAGGGTCACTATGAGTCAGAATCAACTGGATGGCAGTGACTTTGTTTGTCCAAAGGATTCTAAGTTTAGAACCATTTCACACCACAAAATAGAAATTTGAACATAAACATAAACACATAAAATACATTCTTTTTGTATACTATATATACGTCCTCTGGCAATATGGTGATTTAGATATTCTGAACAACCCTGCTGATGAAAATACTGGATAAAACAAAAAAAGATCTGTTGAAATACATTCTGAAGAGTCACCAGAGATTGACAAAGGAATGAAAGTAGGGATCCTAGAAGGTAAGTGAGCTGTAAGGTTGCTGTGCAGTAAATTACCTGATATGGATTTTCCAGGAGCTCTGGTAGCATAGTGCCTAAGGCACTTGACTGCTAACCAGAAGGCTGGTGGTTCAAACCCACCAGCCACTCCTCGGAAGGATGGTTGGGCAATCTACTTCCGTAGTGATACTGCCTCAGCAACCCAAGGAAGGGTCGCTATGAGTCAGGGCCAACTTGATGGCACATAACAATAACATGGCTTTTCTAGCCATAAGTCTTTGTAAACTCAGTGGTGGAATTTGCCGTGAGCAACTAAGGAGCTCCTGGTTGTAAAAATCATCCACCTGAGGTATTTCTGTTGTGAGCAGCACAAAGCAATGTTCTCTCTCTCAGGTGCTTAGAATTCTGATGTTATGATTGGTTAGTTTGGCCACTGTGCCTGGCTCAAAAGGAGTCCTCCTAGAGGCAGAAGTCTCTCTCGGACCTCTGGCTGAGGAAGATGTGTTGCTGAGAGAAAGAGACACCGAGAGACATGCACTGCTGGGAGAGAGACTGTTGGGTGAGAGACGGTGGGCTGGGAGAGAGACTGAACGTTGTTCCTGAACTTGAATTGTAGCCTGGTGCCTCCCTAATAAATCCCATAATCTGTGAGTTCTGTGTGGCCATTGCAGTGAATTATCGAATCCAGCATTTAGGCTTTGGGTGCTGCAGGAGGAACAGTTGGTATAAGGCCTGGAGGGAGGCAGCATGTCTGGCCTTGTAGGAATAGGCCTTGGGTTACTGATGGTGATCCTGTCTTCCTCTTGCAGGGTTAGAGGAGGTCAGGAGATGTGGCCTCCTTGCCCTTTTAGCAAAGGTAAAGCTGGCTTCTGTCCTGGATATTTCTGCCAAATCCCAGAAAATGTAGTTTTACATTGATGACTACAGGAGGAATTAATCTAACAAATGAAGTCTAGGGATTGGTCAAGATGGAGAGTCTAAGGGGAGAATGTCATGTAAAGCTAGGATACTATAAAGCTTTATACTTTCAGTATAAAAGTAAAGGAAAAGTAGACTGACCACATAGAAGAGTGAATGAAAAAAATATGCCACTGTGAGTTTTGACTTGGAAGAGAGGGTAATAATTTCCTCAAAAATTCTTAACAATGACCTTGTAAAATTTATGTTACTTATGTTAAAATTAGAGAATTTAAGTCAAAATTGTTCTAGGTTAATAGTACTCTAGGAAACACGACAAAATTACATGTAAATCTCTAAAGAATTTTATGATTCTTAAATTCAATCCAGGCTTCAAAGACTTCTCAGAATGGATTACAGTTAAAATATTCAACACACAAGGAAAAAAAGACACCTCAAGTGAGAGCCAACAGAAAAGAGACCAAAAAGAGCAGAATCAGATATACCAAAATTTCAGATATCAGATCAAAAACAGAAAAAATAATAATAAGGCATGAAAATGAACCAGAGAATATTCCATTAAAAAAGTGGATTTGAAAAAGAGCTAGAGATTTCTAAAAATGAAAAATATGATTCATTTTTATGAAGACTCAATAAACAATTTAAAAAGCAAACTAGACACAAAAAAATTAGCAACCTGTAAAACATATCATTTCTCAGTTTTTAACTGCTGATCAGTTACTGAGAGGTGTGTCAGCATCTCACTAGAACCAAAAACAATGCTAACACACCATTTAAAGCTGCCTTTTCTATAGAGACAAACACAATGCAAAGGTACAGAATTCAATCAGTACGAATAACATCTAACATATATTGAGTCCTTACTCTGTGTCAAACATGGTGCTAAGTACATTGCAAGTATATATACTTTTATGATCACAGTCATCCTATGAAATGGATACTAATATGGAAACACAAGGTTTACAGTGGGACTCAGAAAGTGAGGATCTCAGTCACTTGATCAGAGTCACAAAATGAGTATGTGCAGGAACCAACATGCAAATTCCAATTTTGCCTAACTTTTAACCAACATAATATGCCAGCTATAACTAAATTAACAGGAGCTCTAGTGGCCAGCTATAGGTCAACAGAAATATAGCCTACCTGATGTTCAGTACTTTAAACCTTAGTAAACATATCCTCTCTGTAGTACAATTTTCTGATTTGTAAAATCAAAAGCTTACTGTGACAATTTAAAAAATGGAAATTTCCAAATAATGTAAATTATGTGATTAACACACAACTAAAACAATCCTTAAAATGAACTCCATTGATTTCTGTTATCAACATTGTGTAACAGAATTCTGTCACTTTCACAGTCCATTATGCTGCTTTTATATGTTATTATGCAGGCCTAATAGCAAAATCCTTCTATTCCCTTTCAGGAAATTCCATATTGCATCATATTGCATCAAGGAAGTTTTACACACACACACACACCCCACAAAACCAAATAATACTGTTAGTGTTTATGATATGCCTTAAAGTTCTAAAAGTTCTACATGCAAAAATGAGATATATGTTAAACAATACATATAAAATACCCTACAGATTACAAATTTCCCCCTTAGATAAAGAAATGAAATAAAAAGTAACAGACTGTGTTTAGGGTTTACATATTGTCCCTTGAATAAAGACAGCCAATCTTTGAGATGGATCCTAAAGCATGTACTTGCATATGTATGGGTGAGGAGATTTGTCTATGCATATAAATCTTGTATACATTTACCTACCGGTCTCTCCAGCTGTTTTGTTCTTCCCATGAGGTTTATATAGAACATAAGAACATCCTTTCACGTGGAAGTGGTCATTAATTTGTCGAAACCATCTGAAAACAAGAAGTTTGCTTATAGTGACAATTCCATAATAAAGACAGCACTATTCCAATTCTAGACAAATTTGGGCATAGTATAAGTTCAGCATATCTACTATAGGCTAGGGCTCAATAGTTAGACACATAGCTTATTATTTAACACTTATCTGTAATTTGACTTCTTTACAGACCTATAAATAGGTATTGCCTCTAAGTGGGGGCTTCATACCTCATAAGTGTTGTATTTCCAGTGAAAGGGCCAAACCTAATATCTTCAAATGGGGGTTGAAAACCCAAAATATGTAAAGCCTCTTCTTGGGTAATAGGTGGAAGACTACAAAAGAAACAGTGCCTTTCATTTTACAGTTCCAATCATGTACAACTTTAATGTCTGTCTGATTTGCAAACAATCTGGTACTATTTTTAATTAATTTTTATTTTATCAAAAATAATACATGTATATATTTACACTAAAAGGCTTATAACAAAGTACAGCAGTTTTTTCTTTAAAAAATATATTCTGGGAAAAACAAAATATATATTCTTAAAAATCTCTTATTATAGAGAAGCAACACCAAATTACTTTTGAATTTGAAGTCTGAAGATACCAATAAATTGACATACTTACTTTCCAGCTCCCATTGTGCTATATAAGAAATTCCAACAAGAAATTAATGAGGAGATACCACAAGAAGTCTTATATTGTGGCCGGCTTATGCAATACCTGAGAAAATAAAAGACTGTTTTCTTACTTGAATGACTAAAAGATATACATAACAGAAATATACAAACCTCATGACAACTAAAAATGTTAGCGTAATTAAAACTTTGATCATGTTAACCAATGTAAAACCTTTATTCACTTTAAATATTTTTATATGTATTAAATATCACAAATGTATAACAATAAATCATTCATTTTAATAGTTAAGTATGACCAACTTCTAATTGAAGTTAATGTTATAATTAAAAATTAGAATTAAAAAATTAATTACATGTAAATTTAGACAGCAACTACTAAAATTTTTACATAAATACCTAGTTGAGTTGCATACATAATTATCTGCAATATCAACAATACTGCAGAAAACAAAACCACTGCCCCTATGTATCACTTTTGCAGAGATTCTTCAACCTTTCAAATTAAAAACATACTCATTTATCACCTACTATATGAGTTCTGGTGGTGTAGTGCCTAAGGCATTTGACTCCTAACCAGAAAGCTGATGGTTCAAACCCACCAGCCACTCCTCAGAAGAAAGGTTGGGCAATCTACTTCCTTAGAGATACCACCTCAGAAACCCAAGGAGGGGTCGCTATGAGTTGGATCCAATTTGATGGCAGTGAGTTTGGTTTTTTGGTATATCCACTTGATGAGTTCTAGTGGTACACTGGTCAATGCAGTTGGCTGCTAATCCAAAGGTCAGCAGTTCAAATTCACCAGCCACTTGAGATAAAAATGTGGTAGTCTGCTTCTGTAGATTCACAGCCTTGGAAACCCTATGGGGCCACTATGAGGCAGAATTAACTTGAAGGCAATGATTTTTTGTTTTTGTTTCTTTGGTCTCCATTTAAGGAGTGCCTTTGTGGCACAAACAGGTACTTGGCTAATAACCAAAAGTTTGATGGTTTGAATCTACCTGAACATCCCTTGTAAGAAAGACCTATTTCTGAAAGATCACAGCTATTGGAAACCTTATAGAGCAAAGTTATACTCTGATACACATGGGGTCACCATGAGTCAGAATCAACCTGAAGGCAACTGGTTTGGAGTCAACTAGGCAAGTAGGAGTGACAGGGTGGTGCAAATGGGTGACACACTCAGATTCTAATTGAAAGGTTAGAGGTTCAAGTGTCCACAGAGGCACTTCAGAAGAAAGGCCTGGCGATCTGCTTCTGAAAAAATCAACCACTATGATGCATAATTCTATTCTGATACCAGAGAGTTATCATGAGTCAGAATCAACTTGATAGCCACTGATACTGGCATCAAAAACCCTTGGGTGATATGCCATGGCACAGCAGTTCTACTGTTATAGAAGATTTAAAAGTAACCTAATAAAATTTCCAAATGGCCATGTGTCAAGAGAAGTGAATACGGGTATCAAGAACTGAAGAGAAAATAAATCAATTTCAAGGAAGAAATAAGATTGGATTTCAAATTATTTTGCCCTCACTGCTTTCTAATGAAGGTGCTAATGAGCAGTCAAAATGAAAGGGAGAAACAAAACCTGTCATCACTAAGGACAGTTTCAGTTTTATCTGAGAAATTAAAAAAAGAACAATGATATATTTATAAAACGCGTGTGTGTGTATATGTGTGTGTGTATGTGTGTATATATATATATATATAAAACATTCATACTAATGGATACACAAGTCAACAATGACTTGTACCTTAACAACAGGATAATCATTAAGACTCTGAGATACGAAAGATAATAATTGTCATTTAACATACAAATTATCATTTAGGAAAGACTAAACTGGCTTACTATCACAGAAGAAAAATATAATTAGCATATTTATGAATAATTTTGTTTATACCTATTTGTAAAGTTCTTTAAATAAGAATTCTTACCCACAAAAATGATCCTAGCTTTAAAGTGTTTGATTATATAATTCTCATATTTCACACTAACAAGCTAACTTTCATAAGTGATCATATATTCATAGTTGTAATGAATATTCTTCTCTTTAATCAAAGGTCCTACAAATGGATTCAGCATTTACATCATCAACTACTTTCCATTTCTAATTTTTTTTTTTTCATTATATTGGTTGGTTTAGATTCCTGGTTGAATGGTTAAGAGCTAATAAATGGTGTATTCTCTAAATTCTTGTGTGATCACAAGTCTGTTGCTTTTTACACTCTAATGATTATCTGAATATAAATTTCTTGGATGACTGTTTCTCTTCCTGAGAAACTTAACTCCATGATAATCTGGCAACTTATGCTGCTACAGTGAAACCTGAGACCAAAGGGTATTTTCTTCTTGCATAATTTATTTTTATACTTGTGTGGAGCACTGAATTATTTAATATGGCCCTTCTAGCCATGGTCTTTATGATTCCAACCAGATAGGTAAGTGGGCTAAAACCAACTGCCATTGAGTTGATTCTGACTCATAAGGACCCCCACTGGGTTTCCGAGGCAGTAAATCTTTACAGAGATAGATTGCCCCATCTTCCTTCAGTGGAGTGGTGGGTTTAAACCACCAACCTTTTGGTTAGCAGTCAAATGCCTTAGGCACTGTGACACCAGAGCTCCTTAGGTAACTGGGCAGGATAATGCAAATGTGTGTGGCTTATGGTCTACCAAGGGACTGGATAGCATGTTAATAATGTAAATAAATACATTGCACCTGTGGTGGTTAAGTTTGTGTGTCAACTTGGCTGGGCCAGGTTGAGTGGCTGGGTAGCTGGATGTCATATTCCCCATGATGAAAATGACAATCAACTCCATGGTGGAATCTACTGTGAACAACTGAGTAGCTGCTTTGAGTAGGTGTCTGCTTCCCAATATATAAGTAGGAACTATGGTAATGGTCTCTAGCCAACACTGCTCTTGAACCCTGCATGTAGCCATGTTGTTGCTCAGCAGCCTGCCATGCTCTGCCAACCTTGGGACTTACAATGGACTTGAATTAACGGCCTGCCGTGTAGTTTGGTAACATCGGGACTGTGCTATTTTATTTGTTGACTTTGGGCTTCTTAGCCTCAGCAGCCAGTAGCTGCTTGAGTGAAGAGATGCCTCTAGCCTCAGTGGGCCGAGAGCAAGAGGCAGAGCTGAAGCCCACGGTGCAGGGGCTTTCACCTAGCCTCTAGAGCCTGGCACTTTGAACTCGGTCTTCTAGCCTCGCAAACTGTAAGAGAATAAACTCCTGTTTGTTAAGGCCATCACATTTGTGGTATACATTCTTGTCAGAGCAACAGTAGGTAACCTGAAAAGCACCCTTATAAGGGTGGAACCATGGAAATAAGATACATGGAACCCTAATGTAGAGACTGGTCAGTTTTGCCATATAACCAAAAACAAACCCAACACACCTCCAGTGAGTCGAACCTGACTCACAGCGACCCCTCCTTAGGCTTTGTAACACTTGCCTAAGTAGAAAAGAGGCCAGGCTAAAGGCCAGAAGAGACAAGCATGCTCAAAGCAGAGGCTGTCAACTGAGTGTTCCTGAACCAGACTTGTAACCTGCTACTTCCCTAATAAACCCCCGTCATGAATATTGTGAGTTCTGTGTTTCAACGAATTATCGAACCTCACAGAGAAGTAGAGTACTGTTGGGAAGGACAACTAGTATCAGAATTGTTTTTTTAAAAAAAAGTTGCAGGGAGAAAACAAGTCCCACCACAGACCAGTCTTGGGCTGCTGATACTGACAGTGATTCTCTCTCCCCCACATGAAGTCAGCAACCAGATGCTACCACTGTCGACACCATTTTGACAACATAGATACCCATACCTCTTTATTTATGATTAAAATTCAGTAACTCCACCAGAAAAGGTCTCAGTGAAAAATCTGTATCAATTTTTCATTCCTGGACATTATTTTCGCTTTCAGTCTGTAGACACTAGACTTTCTTTACTTCAGGAATAATTTTTCAATTTGCCTTTTAAGTATTTTCTTAACTAGATTTTAAACCTTGCGAGATCAAAGACCATGCCTTGTGCATCTCTACAGTTTCAGCAAAACAATAAAGGGTTCAATCTAATATTTCCTTAAAACTTCACACAAAAAATTCCGGCAAGATGGCAGACTAGGCAGAAGGACTGCACAGATGCTCTTCAACAAAGAAAAGGCAAACCAATTAACACAGACACAGAAGATAATCTTGGACCCCTGAGCCTTGAAGGGAAGGATACAAAAGTGGACTAAACCCCAACTAGCAGA